GTCCACTGCCCATTGAAAACAATGGAAGGACACTTGATCTAGAGTCCAGGTCTTCCAATACCCAATATTTCTGTACCTGAAACATCAATCTAAAAACACATTTCAGAAATCATACCAATACTCCTGAAATTTCAGGGAAACGATAAGCATACCCTTTCTGAAATAACAGAATGAAATTAAAACAAGTAAAACATTCATGTGTGCACCTCTGCTGTTAATGAAGGGAGTGGGGAATCAGTGTCTTTTTGTACTTTTCCCCAGAGTCTTTATTTCTCCTACATTTCTCTGCATGTTTGCTGACTGTGATTCGTCCAGTTGTTAAATCTGTAGGGTTCGTGTTCTCCCTTCTTTCTCAAATATTATCAGAAGGGTTTTTTAAAAAAACTAATATTTAAATGTTTAAACGTCTTCACCCAAAGAGTGATTAACACATGGTGGCGGCTACAAGCATGGATGGCTTTAAGAGGGATTGAGATAAGCATATGGAGCAGAGGTCCATCAGTGGCTATTAGCCACAAGGTATAGATAGGGACTCTCAGGCTGGGGCAAGTGATGCTCTATATTCTTGGTGCTTGGGGGGGGGCTTCTAGTGTCCTGGCCCCACTGCTGGACCTCCTGATGGCCCCTGGTATTTTTGGCCACTGTGTGACAGAGTGTTGGACTGGAGGGGCCACTGGCCTGATCCAACCTTGGCTACTCTTATATTCTTAATGTTAAAGAAGGAATGTTCTGTTCCACCCCCCACCACCACCAACCATGAAAATCTGCTAATCCTTATGACAGCTGCAATCCACCCCCAAGGCTGACTGTCAGCAGCCACCCCCCCTCCCTCCCATCCTGCAAGGTTTAAAGGGTCTTTCAGCTGATCTACGGGGAGCACGTGGCCCGCCAATCTTACAGGAGGGAGGGAGAGGGGCATGCGCCATCCCTCGCTCCTTCTTAGAAAACCTTCTTCTAAAAAAAAATCTTGTCCACTGTAGCTACGGGCCAGGCTGGATCAGACCCACGGCCCATCTAGTCCCGCATTCTTTGAAAGCAGCTGCAGGGAGCACCGTTTGCACCTCGGATGGGGGCCACAGCCTAGCACCGTGCATTTTGAATTCTACCATCCGCCTTCCCCCGCCCCGTCTCCCCAGACAGAAACCATCCACTGCCATGCCCATCAGCTGTTAACCATGGCGGGGGGGGGGGGTGGAATTCAAGGTGCCGATGTGCCAGGTTGCATTTGTCAGCTTTTGATGTTGAGTTTGACTTTTTAACAAGAGGAGCCTTCAAACAAATAAGCCACCCACTCTCCCCCTTTGCTCTCTCACACAGACGGGAAATCTGAGACAGTGCAGTCATATGAGAGATTAAACTCAGACTAGCCCACTCAAAATTAGAAGCTTCCCCCCCCCCGGCTTGCATTCGACGGAGAATATTGATCTTTCTACATTTAGGTGACAATCTAATCCATCAGTCAAGCTGCCCGCCCCCGAGCACGTGCCCACTTTGTGTGATTGGAATGCCAGGTCTCCCGTCCCCTGAGATTTCAGGGCTGGACCTTGATTAAGTCGACCGTGAACTCATTAGGAGGCAAACCGTAACACGGTTGCTTGAAAAAGACAAGAGAGAAGATGTATGTGAAGTTATGTGAACGCTGGTATGGCAATGCTAAGCACTTAGAAGCCCTGTTTGCAAGTTACAGCGGATGGACGTAGAACCCATTCACAGTGCACACACTTGATTGTTCGGTATATGTGCACTGAGAAATTCTCACGTTACATTCAATGCATGCACAGCTGAAGGCGTGATTGAAACCCCACATTTATCTGGGTACTAGTCCCCTTTTTCATTTGTAAAGTGAAAGGACGTTGGCCCTATGGATATATGCATGTTCATTCAGGTTGTACACGCATTCACTTTAACGTGTGAATAGGGACTATAGTCATTGCTATCCAAGTTGCCTTCCCCCTTGAACCATTTTGACACTGGAGAGCAGGAGGGAGGGATGCAGGGGCGTTCCAGACCTTTCTTCCTGTTTATCTATCTAATTTTTACCCCACTCTTCCTCCAATGAGCTGCTATTTCCTCCATTTTGTTGTTATAAGAGCCCTGTGAGATAGATTGGGCTGAGGGAGAGTGACTGGGCCAAGGTCTCCTGGGAGGAGCCAATGGGTGAGGGACATTCAGACATCTCTGGGTCATCCCAGCAACATGTGAAACTAGAACTTCTGGACATGGAACTCCCACCAATTGTCAAAAAATCTCAGGTGTGTGGGAGCCTTATTTAGATTGGGGATGCAGGGGTCATTTCATAGAAAAAGAGCTAGGGGAACTCATTAGCATAACTCATTAGCATATGCCACACCCCCTGACATCAGGGGCCCGGCAGTGGACCTGCAAGGCCAGCGGGAGTGCGAGGAAGCCCCGCGAAGGCCCTCCCTGGCCCCAGGCAGGCAGGGGTGGGGAGATGCGGGGAGGAAGCAACTTACCCTCCCTCTTCTCCTGCCTCCTCCTGGCTGAATGAGGGCTGGAAGCGGGGCGGCCGGAAGCAGGGGGCGGGGCTTCGTCATGTGCCCTGCCCCCTGCACCTCACCCGGGGGAACTGCGTTCCCCCGCATTCCCCCCCGAAATGACCTCTGTGGGAATGGGATTAGTTTTGCCAGCCCCAGGTCTGGGTGGGGGATCCCCTGATTTCAGGGGCTTCTCCCTGCCATGGACCAGCTGACTGGTGGGAGAAACCCTGTCCCTAAACAGGGAAGTTGCCATGCAACATCTCCAATGCAATGATGTCACCTGGAAGTGACATCATTTCTTCAAGGATGTCACGTGGGGGCACTCTGGCATTTGGGCAAACTCTATGGTTTGAGGGTGAAAAAAAACCATAGAGTTTCACCCAAATACCAGAGCGTCCCCCGTGTGATTTCCCCGATGCAATGACGTCACTTCTGGGTGATGTCAGGGACATCACGTGACGTCCCTGCCCACTGCTGGAATGCACCCCAAATCCCCCCCCACCAGAGCAACAAAGGGACCTGGCAACCCTAAATGGGATGTGTGAGGAGATGGCCTTCCCTCTCCTGCCATTTTCTTGACATGAAATGGCCCTGCAGAGCCACTGTTTGCCCTGTAGTGCTGTAAATGTATCAGTGGTTAACCCCTAGGTTTCCCAGTGGGAGAAATAGCAGCTCCGTGGGGCCATTTCAAGTGAGGAATACTATAATGTGTAATTCCTCCTTCTGTGTTTGGGTTGCCAAGTCTTCTCTGGCCATCGGTAGGGAGGGTAGGGTTGCCAGATCCAGGTTGGGAAACTCCAGGAGATTTGAGGATGGAGCCTAGAGAGGACAGGGACCTCAGTGGGGTACAATGCCATTCAGTCCGCCCTCCAAAGGATCCATTTTCTCCAGGGGAATTGGTCGCTGTAGTCTGAAGATGAGCTGTAATTCTGGGGGATCCCCAGGTCCCAACTGGAGGCTGGCATCCCTTCTCTGCGTGGGGATTTGACCCTGGGTCTCTCAAGCCAAAATCCAGCACTCTAACCACTATACCACACTGTTTCTGTCTCCCTTTCTCACTTCCGTTCCTCTGCTTCTTCCCCATCGCTCCCTACTCTCCCACCCATCCCTGAGGCCAGAGTCAAGCAATACTAAGTTGGTGTTCAGTGGGAGCTCCTGAGTGCTCAGAGCATCTCTGCCTGCGCTGCTTTGTCTTGAGTTCTGTCTTCTTGGCATCTCTGAGAGTTTGACGAAATGTGGAGAACTGGCTTTCTGATCCTTAGCTGCAAATAACAGGCTTTGCAGCGCTTCATTACCGCTGCTGTGTTCTTTGAGACCATCAGTTCAACGCAACACAGTTCTGTTGTTCTTGTTATTGAAAGAAACACAAGGAAACAAGGGGAGATCCTGAGGTCTGGTGCATATTTTGTAACTAAAAAGCCCTTCAGGGCTTAAGAGATTCCATCCCAACACAACCTGTAATTGTTTCCTCAGATACGTGAGTCCAGTTTCATTTCCACCTAGGGTTGCCAAGGCCCGCAAACTCACCGGCGGGGGAGGCTCCGATGGGTCCAAGAGCCGGCTCCAGATGCATGCGCGCACGTGCCAATGGAAGTGATGTGCGACGTCGGTCATGTTGGGGGCGTGGCCCAGATCATCGGGGGAGGAACCATATGGTTTTTCCCCCGACGATCTGGGCCACGCCCCCAACGTGAGCGACGTGGCTGTGTCACCTCCGGTGCCGCAGCTTTGGGGGTAGAGTTCCCCCGGGGGCCGATTCCACCACGGTGGAAATCGGGCCTCCAAAGTGGGGGTTTCCCCGCCCCCCCGCCCCCACTTGGCAGCCCTATTTCCACCAACCGCCTCGTCCGTTGGCCACTTAGCATTTACATTGTACACCCCCGGGAGAGCATCACGCTCTTCACAGAACAACTTGCTGGTGATCCACGGTCCTAGAGAGGTCCGGCTGTCCCCGACCAGGGCCAGGGCTTTTTCAGCCCTGGCCCCAACCTGGTGGAACTCTCTGCCAAACAACATCAGGGCCCTGCGGGATCTTATGCAATCCTGCAGGGCCTGTAAGACAGAGAGATGTTCCTCCAGGCATTCGGTTGAGGACAGCAATGGTCAACGTCATGGCTGGCACCCTACCTGGACCCTTATTCCTTATAGAACTTACTCCCCCCTGAACGTGTAAAGCACTCACATAGCAGAGTTGGGAGGGAGCGAAAAACTTTCACCACTTGATTTTAATTACTGTATGTTGTTGGACACGGCTTTTACGTTTTTTAGAACTGTGTGCGTCGCCTATTGCTCCACAGTTGTGGGGATAGGCGATTAATAAACGGAACGAAATGAACGAAATGAAATCTATGGATACACATTGTAGAAAGGGGGCGCTGTTTGCTTGTGTGTGCCAGGGCCCCTCTGCTCCTCCATCTCTCTATGGCCTGGCCTGCTTTGTGTGGTCAGCCATCTTAATTTCGTATCCCGCCAACCCCATTGCTTCTGCTCCTGTTTCCTCAGCTAAGAAGATGCCCACTTCCACAGACGAGCGAGAAAATGCCAGCCTGCCAGCTTCCGAAGAGCATCCACAAGCCTTACTTCTTTCTGAATCCACAGAAGCACCCCAGAACCAGATGGACAGGAACCCCGCACAGCTCCCCAGCCCCCCTCCATCGCTTCCAATACTACCACCTAAGACTGCACCCAAAGTCTCAAAGATTGTACCAGGTGAGGCTCATTCATATAAAACGACTCCTTTATGGTGAAGTACTGGACCCTGTCCAGGTCGGCACTGGCTGTGTTGGTCTGAAATAATAGAACAAAGTTTGAGTCCAGTGGTACCTTTAAGACTGACAAAGTTTAATTCTGGGTATACCCGCAATTAAACATGGTTGGTCTTTTTTTTTTTTACTTGTTTATTTATGGATTTTCCATTACATCAATCAAAATCGAACAAACAAAAGTGTTCCACTTTTTACAAATAATATGTTGGAGTATATATTATACATTTTTCCCCATCCATTTATTTACTTTATTCCACCTTTTCATAAAAACATTATCATCTCTCCCTGCTAGCGTCAAGTTAAGTCTGTCCATTTCTACTACTTCTAGGGTTTTTTCAATTATCTCTTCTTTTTTAGATATTGCATTCATTTTCCATTTTTTTGCTACTAGGATTCTCGCTACCGTGAGAATATAAAGTATAACCTCGCGATCGTCTCTTTTAATTCCTTCTGGTATCATATTTAGGAGAAACACTTCTGGCATATTCTGGACTTCTATTTCTGTTATCTCTTTTATCAGATTTTTAACATTTTTCCAAAATTTACTTATTTTTTCACACCTCCACCATATATGGTAAAATGTTCCTATATTCTTTTTACATCTCCAGCATGTTCCCGAAATATCTTTATAGCATTTAGCTAATTTGTCTGGTGTCTAGTGCCATCTATAGAACATTTTGATTATATTTTCTTTGTATGGCGTTGCTCTTAATACTTTCACTGATTTCCATGTTTTCTCCCAATCTTCAATCTTTATCGCATAGGGCAAACATGGTTGGTCTTAAAGGTGCCACTGGACACGAACTTTGTTCTACTGGGCTCTGTTGGAAGAGACACGGGGCTGCCACTGAAAATGGTATCCCTGTGGTGGGTTCTCCCGTTCCTCTAACATAAAACACAGTTGATCTGATATCGTGATGTTGCATGTTTCTCTATCCCCTGTAAGTAGCAGCCAGTGATGTGGAGCAGGGATGGAGACATGCACAAAGCTGTGGTGTCAGAACGGGGTATGAAGTGTAATGCACATTACAGAAGTGAGAGGAGTTGACACCACAATCTGATTTTGGATGGCAGCCCTGTGTCTCCTGATCTCTGTCTCTGCCTGCAAATGATCGTGCATTCTGACAAGCTGACATCTGTGAAAAATCATAGGGGGAATGGTGATCGGGAGGGGAGAAGGTTGCATTGCTGATAAGAACATAAGAGAAGCCAATGTTGGATCAGGCCAAAGGCCCATCTAGTCCAACACTCTGTCACAAAGTGGCCAAAAATACCAGGTGCCATCAGGAGGTCCATCAGTGGGGCCAGGACATTAGAAGCTCTCCCACTGTTGCCCCCCCCAAGCACCAATAATACAGAGCATCACTTGCCCCAGACTGAGAGTTCCTATCTACACCTTGTGATGGACCTGATGGACCTCTGCTCCATATGTTTATCCAATTCCCTCTTGAAGCTGTCCATGCATGTAGCTGCCACCATCTCCTAAATAGGATATTTAGCCCACATACAATAGGCTTCATTCTGTGAGAGCCTTAGGTTGTGGGAAGCAGGTTCCCTTAGGATTTGGTACCGGCCATGTAAAGGTATTTTTGAGAGATGACATGCAATTAGGGATCCCAAGTCCCCCCCGGGGGGCGGGGAAACCCCCGCCCCAGAGGCCCGTTCCCTGGCGGCACCGGATTGGGCCCTGGGGGGAACTCCACCCCGACGTGCACATCACCCGGAAGTGACGCGGGCATGCTGGGGGCAGGGCCACGGCCATACAAGGGAACAGCAGATTGTCTTTGGGGCCAGGGACCACCTGTAGGTTACTGTCTGAAGAGCGCAACACTCTCCTGGGAACATAACAGAGGAAACGGTCCCATAGGTACACTAGTCCCCAGCCACTCAGGGCCTTATAGGTCAATACCAAAACATGGCGGCATGCTCTCATTTGAAAGTGCAGTCATACATATTAAACACATTGGCATCCTACTGTCCTGTGGTGATGGACCAAAACTATGGGCCAGGGACTCCATTCAGCATTGCTGACATTTTTTCTTCACCACACTAGCCATGGGTAATTTAAAAAAAATAAAACACAGAAATAATGAATGATTTAGCAAGAAAAATACTTTGGTCAAAACATGATGGTTGGTTGCTAACGAATATAACATTTCATTTATTACAGATGGCCGTTCTTCATTAAGATATTCATTGCAGATCTTAGTAACTTTCAATATTTATGCTTCTGCAATGAGCATAGAGAATGAGATGTGAGACTTGTGACAAACTGATCATAAGCCTGCATTGCGGGTGGGACTTCCAGTGGCCGCCACAACTCTGGCATGGGTTGAACCAGGAAGAGCTCAGAACACCTTCCCTACCTCCTCTTCAGGCTAAGTTGGCCTTCTGAAGGGCCCAATGAGGCACGAGGACCCCGCAGAGTAACAAAAATAAAGGTGAAGGTTTCCCCTGCTCGAAAGCCAGTCGAGTCCGACTCTAGGGGACTCTGCTCATCTCTGTTTCCAAGCCGAAGAGCCAGTGCTGTCCACAGACTTCTCCGTGGTCATGTGGCCAGCATGACTAAATGCCAAGGCGCATGGGACGCTGTTACCTTCCCACTGAAGCAGTACCTATTTATCTAGTTGCAATTTCTTGCTTTCAAACTGCGAGGTTGGCAGGAGCCGGGGCCAGAAATGGGAGCTCACTCCGACAGGCGGCGCTAGGGTCTCGAACTGCCGAACTACAGACCTTCCAGTCTGCAGCTCGGCTTCTTAACCTCTGAGCCAACAGGGCCCCAGTAACAAAAATATGGTTGATTAAACAAATTTGGTCATAACAGGGATGGCTTAGAGTAGATTAGGTAACATACAAGGCAATGAATGGGACCTGGCAACACCAACCAACACTGCAGCAAATAAAAAAGCACACAGCCTGTCCCACTGCCACTCCCTGGCCCTATCAGGGCACGCAGAAGATTTTAAAACAAAGTTTGAGTCCAGTGGCACCTTTAAGGCCAACAAAGTATAAGCTTTTGTGTGCATACACGCTTCTTCAGATACATTGAAACAGACTTCCCAAAGCCATACCTAAAGGTGGGGGGCTGTGTACCCTCTAAGCTGAGTTAGTGTGAGCTGGCTCACAGCGTTTTAGCCTCCGGCTCACACCTTTTTGCCTTCGCTCAGGAAGGAGGGCTCCAGAGCAAATTAATTTATGCAGTAGCCAAATCGCTCGCTCACAACTTTAATGCCAGTCGCTCACAAAGCAGAATTTTGGCTCACAAGACTCCACAGCTTAGAGGGGGGCCGTTAGTTGCCAGGAAGGGTTAGTCAGAGTCAAGATGCATAAGTAACTGAGCGATAAGTATAGCTAACATTGGAATAAGACAGTTGATGAAATCTGTGATGAGGAGCAGATTAGCATACAGATAATGAAAGAGTTAACAAACAGATGTGAAAACTAAGTCTGAGTCCAGGGGCACCTTTCAGACCAACAAAGTTTAATTCTGGGTATAAGTGAGAACTGAGTGAATTAGCAAGTGTAGTGTTAGAGAATGAACTTGATATTTTGCTTTATGGACTTATATTTATTGCTACACACAATGGACTGTACACACACACACATAGGCTCAGAGAACTGTACATTCCAAGTCACCTGTTGTGATGCAACACATAGAAGGTACTTGCACAAGCCTTACACGTGAATAAGGTTTCCGTTACACAGTTATCAGCCTGGTGAAGAAGCACACACCTCCATTATTGTGAGCAGTAAGAAACAACAACTCGAGCAGAGACAGCCCCCATTGCAGAATTACTTGTGGTCACGTAGGACACATCACTGCTTTGTTCCTGCATTGGTATTTCCTGCCAAATGGACATTTAGTTTACAATGGAATGGCCAGCTTCATCAACACTACAATGAATCATCGTGATGCCAAGGTTTTCACACCTGCCCAGATGCTCTTCTTTGAGTAAGGTATTAGATTACAATATTGGCCACTCCTTATAGGTAACCTCCCACTCCTATAGGCAACCAATAGGATTGTTTTGGGGATGGACTAACGGGTAGGTGGGTCCACAGGTTGGAACAGCTACCTCCCACCTAATGGATCCACTATAAAAGGTTGGGACCATTCACCTGGCCCTTCCTAGCTAGCAACCCCCGCAAAAACCCCTGTCTGCTTTTTACTCCTCTTGAGTCCCACTTGCTATCCCCAAACCCTTGCCTCTACTTTGATCTCTTGATCTGCAGTCAAGAGACCCACACATTCTGGCTGGTTCTGGTCGTGTGCGAATTCTCCCTAGATTTCTATTTCTTCCCATCCATTCTTCATTGGAACACCCAAAGCTGTGAAGACAGATAAGTATTGCCCATCATCATCCCCACCTGCTAATGCAACTGTGCTTATATTTAATACTGTATTTCTAAAGAACTTGATTGACTGTGTGAGTGTATCAGTATTGTTTGTATGAGATTTATATTCTTTAAGTAAAAGACATTTATTTTAACAACAACAGCCTCGACTCCTTCTCTGGTAACCCTTGGTGGGAACAGGACCTTGGTATAGTTGGCAAGAACCAGTTTATAAATTGCCAATTGCGGTAAATAAAGTAATTCGGCTAACAGTAGATGCACACTTCTTCAGATACACCAAGACAGACTTCCTCAAGCAGTACACGGAGGTAGAGAGATTTTGAAAGCTGTGCTAACTCAGCAGTCTCTCAGTCCACTCCATCTTGCTTCACATGCTGAGAAATAGGTGTTTTGTGATACAGACTCACTACCAATAATGCCATCTCATGAGGAAGCCAAAACGAAAAGCAATGAGAAGCTAAACATCCCATCCTAAGCAGAGTTACAGCTTTCTAAACTCATTGATGTCAATGGACTTCTAAGGGTGTGAAAATCTGTTTAGGATTGCGTTGGATGGAGACAGTGAAGCGTAGTCATTGGAGGGTGGATTGGGGTTGGAGCGACTCGGCTTCAGATCCCCACTAGCCTTGGAACTTCCCAGGGTGACCTTGGGCCAATCATTGTCTCTCCACCTGGACTACCTCACAGGGTTGTTGTGGGGGTAAGAATGGAGGAGGGGAGAGCCGTGCAAGCTAATCTGAGACCCTAGGAGTAAGGGCAATGATCTCTGATGTTCTTTGGAAATTTCTGTTTCAAACATGGGAATTCGTTGCGTGTTACCAAATTGCCGAATCAAGGCCTGTGGCCTGGATAAGCCAGCTGGCCACCAAAACCAACGTTTTCTACTATTGCCCTACTTCCGCGGTTTTCATCCCACTTCAAGGGAACTCATCAGGTAGGGTTGCCCTCTCTGGGTTGGGAAACGGTAGAAGATTTTGGGGGTGGAGCCTGGAGAGGGAAGTGTTTGGGACGAGGAGGGACCTCAGTGGGGAATAATGCCATAGAGGACGCCACCCTCCAAAGGAGCCGTTTTCTCCAGGGAAACTGACCTATCTCATTTGGAGAGCAATTGCAACAGCAAGAGATGTCCAGGTGCCACCTGTAGGCTGACAGCCCTACCATCAGGACCTTAACCATGACCAGATCAGTAATTAGAGGAAAAGGTAAAGGTTCCCTTGCTCGAAAGCCAGTCGAATCCGACTCTAGGGTTGCGGTGCTCATCTCTGTTTCAAAGCCGAAGAGCCAGCGCTGTCCAAAGACGTTTCCGTGGTCATGTGGCCGGCATGACTAAACACCAAGGCGCCCGGAACGCTGTTACCTTCCCACCGAAGGGGTACCTATTTATCTACTTGCAATTTCTTGCTTTCGAACTGCTAGGTTGGCAGGAGCTGGAACTAGAAACGGGAGCTCACTCCATCATGCGGCACCCGGGTCTCGAACTGCTGAACTACTGACCTTCCACAGCCTGCAGTTCAGCGTCTTAACCACTTGAGCCACCACAGCTCCAAATTAGAGGAAAGCTTCCCTGAAATATAGCTTCTCACCTTCCTTTGCCATCTACAGCCTAGGGTTGCCAGGTCCTTACCTTCTGCCAGTGGGGGACTCCAGCCTGCTCTCCTGGGTCTTCCAGAAGTGATGTTATTGCGCTGGGCAAGTCATGAAGGGGACACTCTAGCATTTGGCTAAAAACTCTATGGTCACGATAGAATTTTTAGCCAGATGCTAGAATGTCCCCTGCACAACGTGCCTGGCACAATGGTGTCATCTCTGGGTGACGTCCTCATGCCGGGCACATCAGGCGTGGCATGGTTCTTCAGGGGCGGGGCTTCCCCCAGCAGCCTGAAATTGGGTGAACCCTCACCGCCATCGGGGGGATGGCAACCCTACTACAGCCTGAGCAGAGCACTGTGTTCACGTGGAATGGCAATCCAATCCAAAGTGGCATGTGCTTCACTGGAGACAGCTCTTCCATAGGGAAGTGTAATGCTAAACTGAGACCTGTAATTCTAAAGGGATGTCTGCTCTCTCCATAGGAGCCCTTCAATATAGGTCCTCAATGGGAGCTAGAGCTTCCAAACCCCCTGGTGTGGGCAGGGGGATTTTTAAATAGAAAATGCAGCACCAGAAGCTCTTACCAGAAGTGACAAAGGGTAGCTCTAGGAATCACCAAAGACTCTACGATTTCCTATAGAATTTCTAGTGATTCCTAGAGCTACCATTTTCACCTCCAGCATTTTTTTTTTTAACCGGAAGTGAAGTAGTGCCACACACAATTGTGTGACCTCCCATGACCCCTCCCACAACCCTCCTGCCAGTTGCCTGGCAGCCCTAAATTGCAAGTCCATCGTTGTATATAGGAAGGAACTAACAACCTCTTGTGATTTTCTTTCTGACAGCAGGAAGTGAAGTAGATGAGCCAGCCTTGAAATCCCCTCCATCCACCATCTTGAAGAATTATGTCATTGTTGGTTCCTCCCAACTCTCAGGACAAGCTGCTCCCTTCCAGCCCTCAGGCCAGAAAGTCTCCGATCCCCACCTCAGAGGACAGCATACGACGCCAACCGGCTCTCCTCACCTAGCTGCCGTCCACCTGCCTTTACCTCCCAGCCGAGTCATCGAGGAACTTCACAGAGCTCTTGCCACCAAACATCGGCAGGACAGGTAAGGGCGTTGCAAGGTGCAAGGTGTGCTGAACACCAGGAAACTTCCCTGAGCCAAGAATGGCCACTTGCCTCCATAAGACCTTTCCCATTTGCTGAGACATTTTTGTAAGACTGAGGCTTGAACACCTCTAGGCTTGCCAACTCCAGGTTGGGAAATACTTGGTGACTTTGGACGTGGAGCCTGGGGAGGGTGAGGAAACTCAGGGGGGTATAATGCCATAGAGTCCACTCTCCAAGGTAGCCCTTTTATCCAGGTGAACTGAGCTTCTCCACCTGGAGATCAGTTGTGATTCTAGGAGATCACCAGGCCCTACCTGGAGGTTGTCAACTCTGATCATCCCTCAATACCATAACAAAAGCCTGGTTCAGATGCTGACTGAGTGGTGGTCCAATTATCATGGCGGAACAGGCATGCACCTGGAGCCATACACCTAATGGAGTGTATCACATGGGTGCGCCACTTGGAGACCTGTGTGCATGGAGATCTGATAGGCATGAAACAGGGATGGGCATGAAACAGGAAAATGTGGTTTGCTTCATGACATGGCCAGTTCGCGAACCAGGAATTGTTATGAACTTTTAGGAGCTAAATGAACCAGTTCTGTTCATGAGGTTCATGACCCAGTAGAATACCCCCCCCAGCATGCTAGAGACACCAAACTCAGAACGGATCTTTCAGGGACACCCCTCTATCCGCCCTCCAGGTTTGGTGAGGATTGGATGTACGGGGTCCAAGTTACAGCCCCCCAAAGAAGGTGACCACCTGTCATTTCCCCAGAAAGCACTTTCTTGGGGGCACTTTCTTTGGGGGGCTGTAACTTGGACCCATATATCCAATCCTCCCCCAAACTTGGAGGGCAAATAGAGGAGAGTCAACCGGAGATCCTCTGCAAGTTTGGTTTCTCTAGCTTGCACAGAATCTGTTCTATACACTCCTGAACCTCCTGAACCTGCAGCTTTCAAAATGACCTCCTGTCACTGACAGGTTCAGGAATGTATAGAACAGATTCTGTGCAAGCTAGATACATCAAAGTTGCGGGGGACCTCCCCCCAGATGCTCCTTTACATGCCCTCCAAATTTCACACACACCCCTGTTGCTTTGAAGCTTGGTAATCATGTAGATTGAGTGGAGACCGTCTGTCTGGAAATGTATCCATTCACTAACCTGCAGGAACAGCTTGAAAGTTAGTGGTAAATTCATACCGGTTGACCTGCCCTGAACTTTACTTTGCAAACCACGAACCGGCCAAATTAATCACAAACGTTAGTTTGTGAGCCAGTTCGTGCCCATTCCTAATCATATAACTCAGCAGTAAGTAGGGCTGCCAAGCCACAGCGGGGGATCTGCACGTCTTCACAGGATCCCTGCCGCGGGGGACAGCGATACGTGTTGCACCACTGTCGGCAGGATGTGACGCTATGCGTTGCTCTGGCAACGGGGCTGTTTGGAGTCCCCTTGCCAGAGCGACGCGTAGCGTCACATCCTGGCGACGGCGGTGCAACGCATATCGCTGTCCCCCACGGTAGGGATCCTGTGAAGACGTGTGGATCCCCCGCCATGGTTTGGCAGCCCCAGCAGTAAGGCAGATGCAATGCATGCAGAAGGTCTAAGATTCAGTTCCTCACATCTCCAGTTGAAGGACCTGAGGTTTATGGTAGTGACCTTTCTCTGCCACAGATAAATGGTCTGACCCAGTATAAGGCTGTTCCCCACTATGCAGACATGGAAGACAGTGAGAATCAAGCTTATATTTGCTCAGACCTCTGCACGTTGAGTGCCTCTCCCAGGAGATGCATGAGGGAGGAGGCTCACCGGCTTCTGCACCACCGGAACTGGATCCACACCCAGTAGCCAGAGACGAGGTTACTAGGATGCTGCCCTCTACACATGTCTCCATTTTCAGTAGAATGCCAAACCATCGAAATGGTGCTGTTTCATTTGAACTGTACTGTCCCTTAGAAGCAAATAGTGTGTGCTTTGGCCCGACCTGGATGGCCTGGTGTTATGCCAACTTCTCCAGGA